GATGTGTGTGTGTGTGTGTGTGTGTGTGTGTGTGTGTGTGTGTGTGTGTGTGTGTGTGTGTGTGTGTGTGTGTGTGTGTGTGTGTGTGTGTGTGTGTGTGTGTTACTGAAAGACAGCACCTCCAGTGAGAATGGGCTTGTCAATACAAGAAGTTCAAGAATCATAAAATCATCAGTAAACTCAAGGCAAACTCAACCTGCCATTAATTCAAAAATATTTGACATATAAATATCTTTGCTCTATTACTATTGGCAAGTATGCTAATGGCATAATACACACCATCAACACTATATGTCTGAAGTTATGGTGCTCTTCCACAGACTCCTGTGTGGACCTTTAATGCAAATATAAACCCACAAAATTTTTGTGGCAGGATATTTTCAGGGCATGCTCTTCTGTGTATATGAGAGATGTGTGTAAGGTGACCCGGAAGAATCAGAGGGAAAATAAATGTGGCCAGTCATTATAACTTGGAAGCTTCAATTTATGATTAGTGAATGCGGGTAAGCCATCACATATTCCAAGGACTTACTGCTGCACACATAGATGTGACCGTCCAAGGACAAATCCAAAGCACCACTTTCCTTTGGCTGGTAAAACACTGAATCCTATATGGAGCCTACAACTAGAACACTAGGCAATTTCACAATGCCCGCTGTTGTGGCTCTTTGAAAAGGCATTCTTCAAAGGTCGATGGAGAAAGCCTAACGGTTATTAATCAATTATTACATGAATGGAGGGTTTGTACCTCTTTGTACCCGAATATTAAGGTTTCAAATACAGAAAGTAATTAATCAATAAAAAGGTGAGGGGGGGGGGGGGGGAAGGTAATTCAAAGTGAGTATCATTTCCCTTCTGTATTCTTTTAACTGTTAACTATTGAAATGTTGATTTATTTTTCTTTTGAAATTATCTTGTCACAAATTAAAAAAAAAAAATCAAAATCAATCAATCAATAATAATCCAAGATGACACAAATCTTATGTTTGATCTGAAGCTAACTACAGTGCATAAAATAATAATAATAATAGCATATTATCCTCTCACGTAATGATGTCCAAAAGCATGTTTTTGTCATTACAAAATCAGAAGAAACTGGTCACATGTAAATTGTAACAGGATCCTGGGGAAAATAAGGTAAAACATGCTGCCAACAGCCATTCATAAATATGAGAAGTAAGATTAGACCCTAGATATCAGTGACAAAATACCCCTCATTCCAGGCATATGTAATGACCGGCATCAAGGGGCCCCAGGTGTGCTTTATGTACAAGAAATATTCCAATACCCAAACCATGAAAATCCATTTCTTCTTTTTTTCACCAAACACCTCACTGATTGAGGACAAAAAATTATACAATTAAACGCAAAGCAGTGAGAGGAAATGATTCAACTTCTTATGCACAATTTTTTTTATAAAAATGTTTTTGCGCAACTGTGAATGCAGGCCTTAAACGGCACATTAGTGCCATAACTAGTGCCGACCCACCCCGATCACATCCGATAAATTATTCAGATGTTTCACTGCATTTAACATTTTAAAAGGGACAGTTACGCAACAGGTTGTTCATTGGCAAGAAAATTACTTGACACGCTATTGCATTGAACATTTCAAAACGGAAAGTCATGCAACAGGTTGTTCGTTAGCAAGAAAAAAGAGAAAAAAGACTAGACACATTATATAGCTGGCTATATGTACACCCACATGCCTCCTGCACCATGCGCAGTCACAGACTTAAAATACAGGTGTCTGCCTTGCAACTCAACCTCAGTTGGCATACATCCAACCATATAGGGTACTGATATATAGCAATGAATGTCTTAAAAAAAACATCCTGGATCAGTATTTATATCACACCAACTTGAGTCTCCCTCGCAATAAAATGCCAAAAAGATGTTCAAAACATGCAAATTAGAGTGTGGTTTGTTAAAACTAACCTGCTGTCAAAAGGAACAGCCACAAAGTAGTCATCTCTCTGTGTCTAGACAATTACAGTCCAGGCCTCTTAAAATATTTCTAGGTCAGCAAATCTGCAGTGCACAGAATGCACCAAATCCCTGGGTGGCTTTTTCTAATACTGGTACCATCCAGTAACCTTGCACTCTATCACCAAGAAGAAAATGCCAACAAGAAACTCTGTTTCCATCCAGAATACCAGTTAACACTTTCCTGCAAAATCCTCCAAATGCATTCCTTCTGTATATACATACATACGCTTCCCTCTTCTAACTTGCATATTCAGTATATCTGCGGGGCAGGGGGTCAAGGGTAAGGAATGTGCGGAGACTCCTGATGCATGACATCCTCACATAACTGCTTTTATCCCACCCAAAATCTGGCCTGAACCAAGAGAGAGAGAGAGAGACAGGTGCTGTGGTGAGAATGAATAATGTCACCAGGGCACTAAAAATAATGTCACCAGGGCACTCATGCCGGCCCTTAGAGCTGGGAGACAGGCATGACGTCTGGCCTGTCATGTGACAGCCACCGCTTTTTCCTAAAACACAGTTTCTGCTTTGCTAAGAGGAGTAAATAGAATTACCACTTGAAAACACCCTCAGAGACATTATGGAAAAAATACTGAAAGTGAGTTTCACCAAGATCCATCCATTATTTGTAGCTTTAATAATAAATGGACATTTTCAGGCCTATTTTTATATCTAATATTTAATTTGCCAAGAGACAAACGCCTCTTCAAAATTAACTGCCATGCATCTGCTAACTTGCGCTTCCTGCTA